AGACAACTATTTTACTAACAGTCACTTCATCAGCAATTTCTAGCCAACCCTAATTAAACTAAGCCAAAACTTGTTAGTGAAATGGTTGTGGCGAAATTGATTTGTACCCTAAAAAAAATATTAAAATATCTCTATTCACAAGTTAGGTTAATATACAATATTAAATAATTAAAGAAAATACAATATACAATACTTATAATTTAGGCTTTAACTATTGATAATATAACTTCGTAATTTTATTTTTAATCATAAAATTGTACATTTTTTTTTAATTATTAAAAACAAAATAGTTATCGAAGTTTACTTAAATCAAAAACAAATACGAAAACAACTAGACTGTTAACTAGAAGAAATTAAGAAGAAATGTATATATAAAAATAAATGTAAACTATATATATATGTCTGTGAGTGTTGTATTATTATTAAGGGTTTTGGCAAATTTTTTGTCTTTAGATTTGCAATTATTGTATTTGTGCAAAGGGTTTTTACCTCCTTTAGATCCTAGTCTATTATTGTTATCAGAAGCACAAAGATGCAGATGAAACTCTATAATATAAATAAAGTAAATTTACAAAAATAAATAGTTTGGGGGTGTGCTAAAGGCTTTACTCCTAAGAATTTTTATAGTAATAAATAATCTCATGCCAATGCTTTTATACCCAGTAGCACAAGATCAGACATATGTATGTATGTACATATGTATATTAATATGTAATTTCTTAAATTTTATATAACCACCTTTAGACTCTATTATGGCTGCAATTCTTGCTGGTACAAATTTGTAATTACATCGATGCCTATGTCTTCCCATATTTGAACTATTTGGTTCCATAATTTGTCTTTTTCGGTTCTATCAAAATACTCTCCTTTTTATTTTGCTCTATAAATATTCAATTGGATTTAGATCAGGAGAGTAGAAGGGCTATTCTAGAATAGTTATATTATTATTCTTGTTGCAATTAACGTGTGTATACTATGGTGCATGTAGTCTAAAACCAACATCACGTGACCTTTTATAACTATATAAACTAAAAAAAATTATAACTA